AACCAGTTCCTTTTGGGGCCCCAGCCGGCTGGGGGGAGACGCTGACTGACTCGGGACTTACAACGAATGACTTGACTGACTGGTGCTCTGACAATCTCCTTATGCTTTATCTATTCCATTGCAAGAGGAGAGTCTCTGTTAGAAGATGAGCCGGCAGCAGGCAGGACGACAGGAGGCAAACAGAAAGAAAACACCAAATGGGTGAAATCAACAGCACAGGAACTGTCAGCTTTGAAATCATGTTTAACTTGTAAATATGCTCCGGCGATGAAGGAGCGTCTGCTCGGAGTTTAAATAAAGACGGGAGGTGATTAGTGGGATGCGCCTCAGCTGTGCGCTTCACCCAATGAGTCACTGATTACCAAATGCAGCACAGATGAGGCGCCAAGTCTGCAGGATGAGAGATCGGGAGAGAGAAAAGAGGAAGAGAGGCAGGTCGTGCCGAGTGGACCTGACATAAATAGTGTGGAGCTAGAACATCCCGACTCCCCACTCATTGTTCTAGTGGACTTTAACATAGCAAATCTCTCCCATGAACTGCCAAAATACAGACAGCACATTACCTATTACCCTTCCGGATTTCCGGTTCTGGTTAGGAGATAGCACTGTTGTTTGTGGCTTGCCGTTGACCCCTCCCATGTGCGTTACTGTTATCTCTATTTTTGGTGACTGTTATTTGGAATGCATTGGCTGTACTAGTTTATGATCGCACAGCCCTTCTTAACATTCGATTGTTCATGGAAAAGTGTCTCAGTGTATTCGGCTGGGATCATGCAAAGTCTCTCCCACCGCCTCTGGCAAAGGTACCGACATACCTTGATTGTCCTTACTTTGCTTGCCCACAAAGAAAGTGGCCTAAGCAATGAGGGAAGAGGGTAGGAGTGGCTGTCAAGCTCGAGACCCTTTGGCGTTTGGCTCCCACTGGCTTCACTTATCTTCGGCCCGTTGGTCCGGACTTCTCGGCACCTCTTTCATGTTGCCGGTTTCCACGATGCCCGAGAGGAGGTATAAACTGGTCCAACCACTGGTCCAACCTCTGATCACTGAGACGTTCTTCCCAGCCACCGAACTCTGCTTCATTGATCCGGATGGGTCTGATTAACGCCAGGTCTCTGGCTAACAAGACTTTTATTCTAAATGACTTTTTTATATTGCGAGAACTGGATTTTATGTTGCTGATCTGGCTAAAGGAAGGTGAGCATTATGCATTTTCTGAACTTCTCCCACCGGATTGTTCCTTCTTTAGCTCCTCACGCACATCAGGCAAGGGTGGAAGCCTGGTGTCAGTTTTTTAAAATTGTTTTAAATGTCGGCAGCTCACAGTGGACTCCTACTCCACTTTTGAGTTACAGCTGTTTGTGCTAGAGCTGTCTTATCCACTGCTGTGTGCAGTGGTTTATTGTCCTAAATTCAACAAAGGTTTTATTCAGGAGCTTTCTGACTTCTTGGGTTTTATCCTGCCAAAGTTTGATAAGCTTTTAATACTCTGTGATTTTAATATTCATATCTGCTGTCTTGATGACCCATTGGCCAAAGACTTTTTAAATATTATTGACTCTTTTAACCTCACTCAGTTGGTGCATGGCCCTACACATGAACTCGGACACACACTGGACCTTGTGATCTCTCATGGACTGCCTGTTTCCATTACCAAAATTTGTGACTTTCAGTTTTCGGATCACTTGCCTGTTTTATTCAATGTTGCTGCTCTGTCACTGGTGGAGAAACCTTTTATTCCTAAAAAATGTTAGACGTACTGTCACTTCTTTTACAGCAGAAGAGTTTTCTGTTCATTTTAAAAACTCTGGTCTGTATTTGATGAATGATGTCTCCTCTCTTATGAATCCTGAGGAAATGTTAAACTCATTAAGTACCACTTGCCATCATATATTGGATTCTATTGTCCCCTCTTCAACGCAGACCAGCCAAGATGCAAGCAGTGCCCTTGCTGAACGCAAATGGAAGAAGGATAAACTTCACGTTTCTCTCCATCATTTCTGGGATTGTCTCTCTGACTATCAGAAGGTTGTAAAATCTGCCAAATCAAGCTACCTTTCCAACATTGTGGTCAATAATCATCATAAACCTCAGGTCTTGTTCAGTACAATTAATTCTGTTATCAACCCATGTAACCTTGCTTCTCATCCTGAGGCATCTGTAGCAGTATGTGAGGGTTTTCTTCAATATTGTACTGATAAAATCACTGGCATTAGACGGTCCTCCACTTCTACTAATCCTGACCCATCTGATATTCCTCTGCATTCTGCTGTCTTTGATCAGTTTGAGCCTATATCCTTGCCCCTGCTATCTGAACTGGTTCACCACATGAAAACATCTCACTGTTCTTTGGATTGTTTGCCAGCTAGACTGTTTAAAGATGTTTTTGACTCTGTTGGGCCTAGCTTTATGGCTCTAATTAATTTATGTTTAAGGACAGGCTCAGTTCCAGACACTTTCTAAAAAGCAATTGTCCAGCCTCTTCTCAAAAAGCCAAATTTTGACCCTTTAGTGTTCTCTAATTTTAGACCAGTGTCAAAATTATCTTTGTTTTATCTGGTTTTAAATCAAAACATAGTACTGAGTCTGAATTACTAAAAATCAGTAATGATATCCTGTTGGCTAGGGATGCTGGAAATTCGGTTTTATTGGTGCTTTTAGATCTCACTGCTGCCTTTGATACAGTGGATCATGAAATCTTCTTATCTCGTTTGGAGCAGTGTGTAGGAATTCAAGGTACTGTTCTTAACTGATTCAGATCTTATCTCACTAATAGAAGTTTTATTAATAATATTGGTACCTGTTTGTCCTCCTCAACTATCCTTTCCTGTGTGGCCCCCAAGGATGTGTGCTTGGTCCCATTCTGTTCTGTTTGTACATGCTCCCACTGGGATCTATATTAAGGAAATACAACCTTTCTTTTCATTGTTATGCTGATGACATTCAGATTTACTTACCGTTAAAGACATCAAGACGGTGTCATTACAGCTGACTGTCACAGACAGTCAAACAGCAAGTCTGTCAGACTTGAAATCATGGTTGGCACTTTTAATGTTAGATCAGCTACTGACCTCAGTACTTTTAAATCATTGCTTAAAACATTTATTTGGCTTGGCTTTTAATACACAGTAGTCCTGATGCATTCCTTTTAATTTTTTTTAACATATGTTAACTGTGTGTTATTGTGCTGTTTTATTTTTATTTGCACTGCTCTTATTTACTCTATTTTAGTCATTTATTGTGATTTTATTCTGCCATGTAAAGTACTTTGGTCAGCTGGATGTTTTTTTTTTAAGTGCTATATAAATAAATTTGATTTGATCTGTCCCACCAGGGACAAAGTCACACTATTGTTATGTAGCAGTACACAACAATAAAAGACGTCTATCGCTCTGTCTCTCATGCAGCCCTCAGACGCTCTGATCACTGTATGGTCCATCATATTCCAATGTACAGGCAGAAACTTAAAGCTGCGGAGCCTGTGGCCAAAACAGTGAAGAGCTGGACTGAGGATGGTAAGTCAGAGCTACAGGCCTGCTTTGACTGCACAGACTGGAGTGTATTTGAGACTGCAGCTACAGACCTGGACTAACTCACTGACACTGTCACATCTTATACAGCTTTTGTGAGGATGTGTGTGTGCCCAAAAAGTATTTCTGGACGTACAACAACAACAAGCCCTGGTTCACAGCAAGACTCAAGCAGCTTCATCATGCCAAAGAGGAGGCTTACAGAAGTGGGGACAGGACTCTGTACAGCCAGGCCAGGAACACACTGACAAGGGAGATCAGAGCAGGAAAGAGGAGCTACTCTGAAAAGCTGAAATTTCATGTTTCAGCCAGTGACCCCTCATCTGTGTGAAGACATCATCCACTCTAAACTGACCCAACTCACTGTGCCTGTCCCCACCAGGCAGTGGATTACTAGCTTTCTGACAGACAGGAAGCAGCAGGTGAGCCTGGGGAAAACCACATCCTGCACCCGGACAATAGGCACAGGCACCCCCAGGGATGTGTGGTTTTGACTCTACACCAATGACTGCATCTCGAAGGACCCCTCTGTTGAACTCCTAAAGTTTGCAGATGACACAACAGTCATTGGTCTCATCCGAGATGGTGACAAGTCAGCCTACAGATGAGAGGTTGAGCAGCTGGGTCCTGTGGTGCAGTCACAACAACCTGGAGCTGAA